CCCCTGTATCACAGCAATTTGGATTGTATGCTGTTAAAGCTGCAGTGCCAGCAGTACAAGGAGAAGCTCCTTAAAATTCAGAAGCCATCTTGCCTGTTAGAATTAAATCCTACATGAAGTTAAAGGCCTGAGGTTTTAGGAATTTGAGCACTATTATGGCTCATCTATGTGCTAATGATACTGCTTTTAGAAGAGTTTTAAGTCTAAATCTCTTTTGTGAGGAATATTTTGCCCACAAGTCTTTTGAGAGTAATAGCTGACTATTACTATACTTGTGTGAGCAGCTGTGTGGGGATTCAAGAGTCACACAGAAAGTTACAAATTTAATTTGTCTCTGAATTACTTGGCACTAACTAGTTTTATTAGGTTATGTGTGAGTGATCTGTTCAGTATGTAACAGCTGCTGAATTTTCTAGCAATCAAAAGGGATGTAATCCACTCCAAATTTGTCAGGCAGAGGTAGTCCCTCTCATGATTACTGTGATATATCAGAAGGTCAGCAGGGACGGTGCAACCTTGACTTATAAAGATATTTTTGTTTGTCAAGCCATAGAAATTGGTAGGTATAGATCTGACCTCCAGGCTTCCATTGCTGATACAGCCAGACCCATTTCCAACCCTGAAGGAAGAAAAAAAAAATAAAAAAAAAAAAAAAAAGTCTCATCCTGACCATGTGATGACTTAAATATATTGGCATGGAAGTTAAAAAAGATTACAGAGTAAAAAAATGAAACTTTGTTATTGTAATTTCATTTAACACTGTCAAAGAAGAGAAAGTATGAGCTCACATGCTACATCTCACTAGGTGTGGATCTGGCTGGACAGATAGTATGTAGTGCCTGTCTTCCACAGTCATTTCTGTACTTCTTTGCCCAGCACTACCTAACATAAAAGCCAGCTACCTAACATAAAAGCCAACTGTCCTGTCAGTTCTTTATCAGCCTGCTTTGCTTGCACAGGGCTGTCTGGAACACTGGGCTACAGGCAGAGTCCTCCAAATTCTTTCTCTGCTACAGGCAGAGTCCTCCAAATTCTTTCTCTCCTCTGCAGTGACTTACATGTCCTTCTGCAGAGACCTCTGCCTCCAATGTGGTTTGAGGAGCAGATCTGCTTCCCAACGCCAGACTTTTGTAGAAGATACGCACCCACGGACCCAGCGCCTGCTCGGTTCATTGTGGGGTTGGCAGGTCACAGAACCAAAGTTTCCCTCTTCTGGGTTTATCCCTTTAAACAGTGAGCCCCTTCTGATATACTCGAAAGAGGAACTGTACGTGCCCACCTTTGTGGGCAGACAAGCTGTGGCTATGCTCAGGAAGGAGGGGAAGGAAGGAAGGAAGGAAGGAAGGAAGGAAGGAAGGAAGGAAGAAAGAAAGAAAGAAAGAAAGAAAGAAAGAAAGAAAGAAAGAAAGAAAGAAAGAAAGAAAGGAAGTTAAGACTCTGAGTGATTTCCCATTTTGTAATTCAGTCCAGACAGTCTTCATGTGCAAAATTCAGCATCCTTTGCCTCCTTTGTGAGATGCTGAGCAGCAAGAGTCCGTCACAGAGAATGAATTTTGTCTTAAGAACGGATACCACATGTCGCTGTGGCTGATTCTTCATTAAGGGAATTAATTGCCTTGTGGGATTGCAACCTGCTGCAATGAGGCAACAGTAGGTTTCAAATGGGACTCATAGGAAATAGCATAAAAGTATATTAAAATGCAGCAAGAAACCAATATTACCTTCTCTCCTTAAAATGGGAACTTAGTCTCCCTTTGCATAGATGAAATATTTAAATGTGATATCAGGATGCAAAGCTAAAAATTGGTACTGCATTGCCTAGGGTATCTAAATACAGCATATGGTAAGTGGGGCTGTACAGATACAAACCCATTTAAAATCCTTTTTGGCAGCAAGACTCAATTGTCATGTTTTGTTAGGTCTGTTTTGTGAAGCAAAGGCAGAGCTTATGTGCACATGCAGTGCAAGAAAGGATTTCCTACTATGCCCCAGGAAAACTGACAAACCAAACTATTCTCTAATTGAGTTGTGTTCCACTGTACTGAAAAATGAGGTCTTTTTAGCAAACAGCTTTAAAGCTAATTAAAAAGCATCTTTGCTTGATTTAAAGAATAATGTTATACAATCATGTTTGCATTTTTAGCTGGATGCTACAACGTTTGTGCACAGAAATAGCAAACTGTGACATAATCTTTTTAAGTGGTCTAGATATTTTTGATGACAAAACTGGACACAACATGGGCAGGAGAGCTGGCAGATCTCATTCAAGCTCTGCATTATCATTACTGAAAGACAGAAGCACATCCAAAATATTTGTTTTACAGAAGCACTTACAGAGCTATGATAAAGCAATTGATATCCAAAATTTATATTAAAAAATTTATAACCACACAAATTTTTATCCCCCAAAAATGTATTTTTGGGGAAGATGAAAAAACAAAGCTTTGCATTTTGTAGTATCACAGTTAAAAGCTTGAAGAGTGGCGGTAAATGGAGTTACATCCAGCTGGTCACCAGTGATGTTCCCCAGGGCTCAGTGCTGGGGCTACTAGTCCTGTTAATCTCTATTGATGAAGGGATTGATGACTCCCTCAGTCAGTTTGTAGGTAATGCCAAGCCGGGTAGGATCTACCAGAGGGTGGGAAAATTCTTCAGATGGGTCTGGGCAGGTTGGACTGATGGGCTGAGGCCAATTGTATGAGGTTCAGTAAGACCAAGTGCTGGGTCCTGCCCTTGGGTCATGAACAACCTCCTGCCAGGCTACAGGCTGGCACAGTGTCTGGGAAACTGCACAGGGAAAAGGACCTGAAGGTGCTGGTCAGCAGCAGCTGAACACGAGCCAGGGTGTGCCCAGGTGGCCAAGAAGGCCAGTGGCATCCTGGCCTGTGTCAGCAATAGTGTGGCCACAGGACCAGGGCAGGGATTGTCCCCCTGTACTCAGCACTGGTGAGGCCACACCTCAAATGCGGTGTTCACTGGAGAAGGCAACAGAGCTGAAGAAGGTTCTGGAGCTCCTAATGAGGAGCAGATGAAGGAGCTGCTTGTTTGTCCTGGAGAAAAGGAGGCTCAGGCATAACCTTATTGCACTCTATAACTGCCTGAAAGGAGGTATTAATGGATTGGGGGTCAAGTAACAAGTAACAGGACAAGAGGAAATGGCCTCAAGTTGCAGTAGGGGAGGCTTTGATTGGATAATAGGAAAAATTTCTTCACTGAAAGGGTGGTCAGACAGTGGAACAGTCTGCCCAGGGAATTGGTGAAGTTACCATCCCTGGAATTGTTCAAAAGGTATTTGGATGTGGCACCTGGGGACACGATTTAGTGGTGAAAAGGGCAACGTCAGGTTAACGGTTGGAATTGATGATCTTAGAGGCGTTCCTCAGAAATTATTTGCATCTTAAGCAGTAGAAACCATGCTGTTTCACAAACACGGCAGTAAACCAGAAAAATCAAAAGTGAAAACTGAATGGTGATTTTTTTAATCCTTTGTCAGGCTTAAGAAATATGAATTAGTGTTAATTTCTTAAACTTGTTGAACATGATAGTAAAATATTGACTGGCAAATCCTGGTACCATTAGCAATCCTCCTTGAGCACTTTCAGGGAAAGGCCAAAATACCATAAGACTGGTAAAAGAAAAAGACAAAGAGCAGTTCTCAGAAGGCAAGTTGTTGTTCCAAAGGAAATAATTTCTTCTTCATGTCCCTGCTTGGCACAACCTTAGAGAATGGGCAGTGGAATAAATCTGTGCACTGCCTGGAAGGGAATAGAACATTTCTCATTAGATACTTTAAAGAAGAGGTTGGGTAAAGAGAAACAGCCTGTTTGGAGGGTCACTGGTTGCATTTTATGCAGATGCATGGAGTAGATTATTTCCTGAGGTTTTTTCCCAGCTCTGCTGTTCTACAATTCTCATCCTCTACAGAATTAAATGAGTGCAGAAGTCACCATGCTTTTGAAACTTTAACTATGTTCTTATTCTCATGAACTATTTTATTGTTCTCTGTTGCTGCTGATGCTGTGACTGACCAGGCCACATTTGCTATGAGGAGATGTTTACCCAGCACATCTAAAATTTATCTGGATGATGAAAGATTAACACTGTTTTGAAGTTAATTTATGGCTTCTGATACACACATCAAAATCCTTTCAAAACTTTGGAGAGAATCTACAAAGAGACAATTCCATTATTTACACAAGTGAATTTAAAAAATCTTAAAATTACATCTCCTCTTTGGGATTTGACTTGTTTACTTAATGGGCCTCTTGACATAAAAGCATTTTTGGCAGACACATTAATAGTCACTGTAGTAAAGGACCAATTTAAAACAGCTGATTTTCTTTCCATCATCTCCTGCTGCAGCAGTGCAACAATAGGCAAAATAGCTCAAAGCACAGTCTATTTTTTCTTCCAGACTTTAAAATCACAGTGCAAAGCTGATTTTCCATGTACTTCTAATAGTGGCACACACTTGTATTCTCATCAGCCCTGGTTCAGACCTTGGCAACATGCTGAAGTAGTAACAACGTGGTCAACGGCTTCAGCCCAGAAGATGAAACTAACATGTACATGTCAAAAGGGTAAAGAAAAAACATAAAAAAGCTTTTAATGCATTAGGATGCACAGTGTTATTATCCTAATTTTTGTGTTTGTGTCAAAGTTTTTTCAAATAAAAACAGTGAAGGAATACACTGAATTATTCATGCTGAAAGTGTTAACAGTGTCTGTAAGGAACAGGGAAAATCAAAAGAAAAGAAAAGATGTTTATTGTGCATTGTTGAACAATAAGTTCTGGGAACAAGGAGGAGAGAAGCTGAAAATAAAGTTCCAACAGCTCAACCACGAAAAGGTGTAAAATTGAGCCGTCGGGAGTTCTTTTCAGCCGTGGTGAGAGAGGAAGCCGAGTGTTTGAAAACCAGGCTGATGGATCAGCAAACCGGGCAGGATTAGCTGGCTGGATTAGCAGCGTGGCCGCCAGGTGTGCATCTCCAGAGGATGCGATGCAGAGGACCGCACACGCCGGAGCCCAGCCGCACCTGCCCCTCGCTGCTTTAACCACCCATCGCTTCGCCCCGCGGCCCTCGCCCGTCGGCTCCGGGCGGCGGGAGCGACCCAGCCCGGGGTTCCGCGGTGCCCCGGCCGTGCCCGCACACGCCGGCTCGCGGCTGCGGAGCCGTTC